CCCAAACAAACAAAAAACCCAAAACTTCTATCAATCTAAGAAGAAAATTGATGATCCTTTGAACTCCTTAGTCTGGCCTACAAGTCCCTTCAAACCTGACTATTATCGCCCTCTCCTCAAGTTCTCTATACTTTAATTCATGAAAAGGAGAGTCAGAGCCCGGCAGCAGTTCAAGGCTTCTCTGGTACCCAGAGAATTAGCACAAGCCAAATCTGAGGCTAAGTATGGTCCAGGTCTAAAATAGAGCGCAGGAAATGCTGGAGCGAGGATTTCTGGCCACTGTCTAAAAGAGTGTCAAGGACCAACATGTGGGATACATTTGGGGAATCTGGAGGCTTGAAGACAAGACCAGAGGGAGGTATAGTTGCTGAGAGATGGTGACTGAGGACAGGACTCTGAGCACAGAAATGGCAGCTTCCAGACAGGATCCCCACCCATGGAGAACTGAGGTTCCAGGACAGCCAGGACCCCAGCAAGCCAAGAACAGGCAGGTGAGGTGAGGCCGTGTGAGCTCCTGGGTTTGATCAGGAGTTGGGTGGGGGGAATGTGCAGGACTCGACATTGGGACTCAGAAGGTCAAGGACAAAGGCTGACTTGAGGAGGACTTGACAGGAGAAAGAGAACTACATGAAAGTTCTTTATAATATTCTTCCTGCCTGGAACCAGAATGAATCCCAGAATAAAAAGAGCAAGACTGAGCCTCGGGCAGAAGGGCATTGAGAAAGGAACCAGGCAGCTCCTGCCATGGGCGCCCCAAGATCAGCACTGGCAAGCCACGGCTCATCCTCAGAGCACACACAAGTCAGGGACATTCAAGTTTAATCCCGTGAACCCAGGAGCCCGGATTGCTTGGGAGACACCCAGTGTGAAGGTGAATGAAATCTCAACATGAGTATGTTTCTGAGAGTATCTCTGTAGCTCTCAGGAGGGTCTCTGGAGAGTGTGACTGGGTCTGGTTCACATGGCAACCAGAAGATTATGACATACTCASAGGATGGTGAGGTCACAGAATACAAGCCTTAAAGTAAGTGAGCCATGTGAGTCTCATTTATTTTTAAAAGAAACCTCTGAGAAGAGCTTAGAACAATTTTTTCCCTTGAGTGCCATTTCCCAAAGGTACTCACTGAACAATAAGGTGTGACTGTAATGGCTGCACTGAGTTGTCTTTTGGACAGTGTTAGAAGGGACATAAAGAAGGTGGACAGAGAATTAAGACAGTTGAGATGCATCGATGAATTCAGCACCCGATGCCTGTGCGACTTGTACATGCACCCGTACTGCTGCTGTGACTTGCATCCCTACCCATACTGCCTGTGCTACTCGAAGCGATCGCGATCCTGCGGCCTGTGTGACCTCTACCCGTGCTGCCTGTGTGACTACAAGCTGTACTGCCTTCGCCCGTCCCTCAGGAGTTTGGAGAGGAAAGCCATCAGAGCCATCGAGGACGAAAAGAGAGAGCTTGCCAAGTGAGAGAACTCACTTTTAGATCTTTAGAGTTGGTTTCTCAGCCTCATGAGTTGAAATAAAAGGGGGGGGGTGACAATTGATACTTGAACAAAGATTAAAAAAAAAATGTTCAAGATAATGACTCTGGTGACTTAGGAAAGATTTAAGAAAAGAAGAGTCAATGGGTCCATAATGGGAATGGTGAGATTCTCCAAAGACAATGTAACGATGTTGAGGGCAGCTGGTGGTTTATAGCGGGAGTGCCAACTTGACAAATTAGGTGGCTTTAATGAGGGAAAGAAATAGGGGGTGTCATTAAAAAGCTATTGGAGGCAGCAAACGAAACATTTTTTCTGGTTATGAGTAAAGTGATTTGAGTATATTTGGACTTACAGAAATGTCTGCAGGACAAGTAATAATAATTGATCAAATCCTTAATGTTTGCCAGAGGCTTTAGGAGCCCGAGAATAAATTGAAAAATAGAGGCATTTCCTTCATTTTGTAGGAAAATCTTTCTCCCCTTCCTCCCAACTCCAAAGACTTAACAGTTCCTCTGGAGTTGAGGTCATTACATTGGCTTTCCCCTCCAACTCCAAAAAAAGCTGTGGAAATAAACTACAGAACCCAGTTGCCCCTTTCAGAGGAGACTTGAGTTGGGTTTCCATAGCATTGGGGAATCTAAAAAATGTTTTAGTTTTGATCATATTTTCTTTTTTGCCTGGAGTAAAGAAGGAAATTTCTGTCTATATAAGCCATTTAGTCTGCTACTATTGGTGAAAATGGTGGTGGAGAGAGTTGTCCTCTGGCTAAATAAATTATGGCCCACCAAACATTGGAACGGTATGTAGATGTTAAACGGATGGACAAAGCATTTTTACATATTGATGGTGGTAAGTGAAAAAAGCAAATCTAGAAAAAAATGTTTAATATGGTCCTATTTTTTAAAAGATAAGCATAGATAGGTAAGATGCCTAGAAAAATAGATGAACGATGGGTGGGTGGGTATGTAGAAGAGAGGTCCCTTGGCAACAGTGACAGTGGTGTTTCATCGGAAGGGCAATAGGACAGTAATTGTCGAGGTCATCAGCCTTGGCCAAAGGTCAGGACTGGCCCTCCCTCATAGGCTGAAATGGAGCATTCACCTACAGATTCATGAACATATTCTTTGAACCACTTTATTTTTACTCCTTAGGAAATCAAGTTTATAAACTGTTCACACTGTGAGGAAGGGCTCCTTGTGGGTAGGTCTATGCCCACTCCCTCTGTACCTCGGGTCTTCTGAGCTCCCCTCTTCCCACACCCCTCAGGGCAATGCCTCTCTGCCCTTTGCCATCAGGCTCCTTATCCCACTTTAGAGACCCTATTTTTTGGTGCTCAGTTGGCCCAACTTTAATTCCCAGCAGAGTAGTTCATACTAAGGTGATGCTTTCTCTAGTTTGTGATGCTTATTCTGACAGTGTCTGGGTCTTGGCTGTTTTTGTTTGTTTGTTTTCCTGTGCCAGCAGCAGGATTTGAAGCTGGTGATTTCTTACATTAATTCCTGGATCTCTGAATGGATAACTCTTGAGACCATTTTAGAAATGACTTCAGGCTTTTGGCCTCTTTTTTTTCTCCTCTCCCAGATACTTTTCTTCCCATTCATACTACTTTGTGAAATTTCTATGCCCTATTTCTGACAGCTTGACATCTCCCTATCCAAAAGGGCTTAGTGTCACCTGTAAACCTAAATCTTCAATTTTCCTGAAGAGAGGTGAAAATGTTCAGCTGTGATCCCAGCTCCAATCCCAGAGGACTCACACTGTTAATATTTTTTTTCTTCCAGTGAAATACCTCCTCTTTCTTATCTTTAAGCTAGCTCCTGATCCATGACTAAAGAGATCCAGAAATATTATGTTGAACTTTTTTAAAAACAATCTTTAGTGTGAAATCTTGTGGATTTAGAATTCATATTCACATGACCTTTCACCCTTTTAAAGAATGCTGAGGCATTGGTTAATTATGACATATCTTTCAGATGTCATTCTGTGTTGTCCAGAAGGTTCTATGTTCCTAGTCTGTAGTTGCCTCTGCCCCACTGAAATTACTTACTATAACAATCTGTTATGTGTCTGGGTATTATGAGTAAAAACTCTTGGCCAAAAATTTTTAAATTTCTTTTTTTTTTTTTTTACATTTTTTTTTTAATATTTATTTTTTTTTAGTTCTCGGCGGACACAACATCTTTGTTGGTATGTGGTGCTGAGGATCGAACCCGGGCCGCACGCATGCCAGGCGAGCGCGCTACCGCTTGAGCCACATCCCCAGCCCAAAAATTTTTAAATTTCATCCATAAGTTTCTCAAACATTCTTGAGTATCTGTCATTTTTATATATGTAATATTCATATAATATATAATATATAACATACATATAATATATGAATAGATGGATATGTACGTATATGTATATATATGTATATGTATTTTATATATATAGCTTTCTGTAGACCAGGCATAGAAGGTCCAACTCACTTCCATTGTTTCTTTTCTTTCTTACTTTTTCTTTTCTTTTTTTTTTTTTTTGTGGTATCCATGGCCTTGTATCCATTCTTGCTTGAGTAGCTGCTTCAAAAGTCAGTGTCAGCCAGGTGTGGTGGCAAACATCTGTAATCCTAGCTACTACATGGGAGGTTGAAGCAGGAAGATACCAAGTTTGAGATCAGCCTGGGCAACATAGCAAGACTCTGTCTCAAAATGAAATACAAAGGACTGTGGGTGCAGGTCTGTGGTAGACTGCCTGACCACCCTGGGTACTTGCAAGGCCCTAGGTTTTATCCCCAGTACCCAGGGGTTGGGGTAGAGGAGGCAGTGTCTTCCTTAGTAGGTACCAAATTTAGCACTTTCGTTTCTTTAGCTTTTTCAGTATGCCTGTTCCTTCCCCAATTACCTTTTATGCCCGAAGCACTAGCCATGCCCCTGACTCATCCTCACTCTTCTGGATCTAGAAGGACTGAGGTAACTGAATTTAGTTTCCTTTGGGGAAATCCCACATCATCCTGCTTTAAGTTTGTACCTGATGAGCCACGGCACTTCATGGGGTTCCCTTTCCTCATTACTAAAGCTGGAGGAACAAACCAGCTCCAACCCATCCTCAGTCCTGACCGTAGTTTATGACCTAATGAACAGATGCAGGTGTGGCTTTGACACCGGCACTAGTCCTGCTGCCAGATGAATCTTGGTTTACAGTTGTACCTTGAGCTACACTGGCCTCACCCTCTGTACCCTTCTTTGGTACCTAGAAATGAATCCTGAGGCTGTGCTTCCATCCACTCACGTAAGAGCCTGTGGTTGGCCTAAATCTCAACAAGAAATTCCCTTCAAAGTCCCCCCAGGAGGCCTGCCATCTCAAAACTTCAAAAACCTGCCCCCTCATTTCTTTTCTGGACTCCCCCGACACTCATGAGTTTGAGGTTTTCATTGAGTCTTCTCTCAGTCAGTGAGTCAGGGTCAGACTGGGGCTTTATGACTGGTAAAGACTGGCTTTCCACAGAGAGCCGGCTTCCCTGTGTCCTCTGAGACAGAGAAGAGCTGGCCCCTGGTTGCTCTCTCATCACAATCTCTTTGTACCGGTCGTCTTGGAGCCCAGTTCCCCTTGGTTGCGAGCCTAGGAGTTGCCACCTAAGCCTAAAACATTCTTTGTGTGTGTGTGTGTGTGTGTCTGTGTGTATGTGTGTGTCTGTGTGTGTGTCTCTGTGTGTGTGTGTGTGTGTGTGTGTGTGAAAGAGAGAGAGAGACTAGGGGTGGAACCCAGAGGAGCTATACCACTGAGCTACACCTCCAGCCCTTCATTTTATTTTGGAATAGAACCTCATTGAATCACGGAGGCTGGCCTCAAGCTTACAATCCTCTTGCCTCTTGAGTAACTGGGACTACAGCTGTGGGTCACCATACCCAGCTGGTGAAAATCATTTCTATTATTTAGTTTGACCTTATTGTTTAATGATATAGGACTTGGGCCTTGGTCACTTAAAAACTCAGATTTTTGTCTGGGTCTTGGTTTTTTATTAACTGGTGTAGAAAAAAATAATTACATTCTAATAGAAATAAAATGTGATGTGTTGGTTTTGAAAGTAGTATTGGGGAAGTTGTTGGGGTTTTTTTGTTATTTGTTTTGCATCAGTAGCATTGGTTACTTGAAAAATTAAACGCTTTCTGAAGTTGTTTCCTTTATCAGGAAAGAAAGAAAAAAAAAACTCAGATTTTGGGTAAGTTCATTTACAGAAGGAATGATGAAGAATTTTCTTTATTGAGTAATGTCTACATACCCAGTATTCACATTCATTTAATTCTCCTAGTGTGCCTTTGGGCTGCTATTATCTCTATCATCATATAGTTGATGAATCAGATCTAGGGCAACCGTCTTGATCACTGAGACATCGTGGAGGCCTGACTTGAAGACACATTCACCCAAGTGAGAAATTCATGTACCTCACCACCTGGCCAGTGATTCTCAAAGTGTGGTCCCTGGATCAGCATTAGCAGAGTCATCTGGCACTTATTAGAAAAGCAAATTCTCAACTCCACACCAGAGCAACTGAATCTGAAACTTGGGGGTGGGGTGGGGGTGGGGTGGAGACCCAGACACCTGTGTTTTATCCAGCCCTGCAGGAAAGTCAAATGCAGCCAGACTACACTGTTTACTCCTTGTTGAGTGACACTGTCTGCCATATTAATACCAAAGTCTAGGGAAGGGAGAAGAATCAAAAAAAAAAAAAAAAAAAAAAAAAAAAAAAAAAAAAAAAAAAAAAAAAAAAAAAAAAAAAAAAAAAAAAAAAAAAAAAGGGAGAGAGGAAAAAAAGGAGAAAAGAAAGGGAAGGATGTGTTTACATGGGTCTTTGTAAACATGGAAGAGAGAAGCAAAAGTATTCCAACAAAGCTTAGAGAAGGCTTGTTTCCCCTTGCTCTCAGGTGGATAGAGTAATTTTTGACATCTTCCTTTATTAATCACAGGAATGAATGAGTTATATCTGTATGAAGATGGCTGCTCATATAGCTCCTCATGGGCGTGGGTGGTGTTTCACATTCAGGAGTGTGGTCTGATGTGCAGGTGAAACTCAGCTTCAGCAGAGCGAAACAGACTAGCACAGAGTGCAGACACACAGACGCCTCTGGTCTGAAGCCGTCCCCAGCTTTTCTATGAGTCTTCAACAGAGAACCAAAGGAACTGGTTCAGCTCTGTGATAAAAGCATAGGAGGCAATCTCCCCTTGCCCAGAACTCCAGAGAGCCATGGGAAATCCCAATTAGGCTGATGGCAAAGTCAAGTTGCAAGTTCAGAGTTGAGTCTGATGAGCAAAATGTGACTCCTGCGAGTTCCCTCCTGCGAGTTCCCTTAAACCCATAGGTTCTTGCTCATAACCACTGAGATAAATGCAAGAAGAGACCTGACTTGGCCAAGAGTTTTAGGCCATTTCTCAAAAAACCCCCAGTGTGGGATAGCTATATAACTGCTGCAAAGAAGCCAAAGTGGTAGGGATAGGRGAGAAAGGGGGAACAAAATGCATGAAGTTGTACCTGGGATTCAGGCATCTAAGTGGAGATGGACCTGGAGCTGGCAATGCCTGGTGGGTCTGGTTGCCAGATCCATCTCCTACAGATGGCAGGAGGGCAGACTCAGCTCAGGCAGTCACTGGGGCCCTAGAAATCCTGCTTGGGGTCTTTGGCCCTCTTTTGTTAGTCCAAGCTCCTTCTTTACAGCAGGATATGATGCAATTTGACTCAGCCCATGTGCACACCGTGGAGAATCTGAGAAGCCCTGTGCCTACTCTACTCGTGCTTCACTGATGGCCTTGGCTGCTCTCCTTCAAGCTCTGATATTATTTTTTTGGTATTAGGGATTGAACCCAGAGACACTTTACCATTGAGCCACATCCCCAGCCTTTTTATTCTGAGACAGAGTTTCACTAAGTTGCTGAGGGTCTTGCTAAGTGGCTGAGGCCAGTCTCAAAGTTGTGATCCTCCTGTCTCAGTCTCCTTGTCACTGGTATTACAGGCATGCCAAGCTTCAAGCTATAATCTATCCAGAGAGAGCAACATGTCTAGAGTTTGCGCTGTTTCTTGCATTTTTGTGAGTTATTCTCTATCTAGTGAGATAATGTGCTTGATCTCTAGGCTGCCTCTCAGAGATAGCAATTTCAAAGTCCAATTCTCTTCGTTTCTTCTTAGTATGGCCTAGGGTATTCCAGTATACCCAGGGCAAAAAAGATTACTGTACCCCCCGCCATCCTCAGATTCCTTTGGGTTGGGGGTAGAAATGGAGCTGAGTGACTTATTATTTAGTCCTCTGGGTATATGACTCAAGTTGTTTCTGTTTGCCTCAGTGTCTCTTAGGACCAAGTTGTACTTGGTCATTTTGTAATTAGCCATTAAGAGTCTTGGTGTATAATTTTCAGTACAAGTGGTTCACACTATTAAACCAATCCTGTGAAGTCTTATCAAGTGAAAAGTGAAGATTAAATTCAGTGTGTGTAGCATGAACTTAAGAACCTACACAAAACTGTATGTAGAAACACACACACACACACACACACAGAAAAAAGTGTAACACAAAAGAGTTAAGTGTGGTATGTAATTATGAATTTTTAAAAAATATTTAATCTGGCTGGGCATGTGGCTCAAGCGGTAGCGCGCTCGCCTGGCATGCATGCAGCCCGGGGTTCGATCCTCAGCACCACATACAAACAAAGATGTTGTGTCCGCCAAAAACTAATAAATAAATATTGAAAAATTCTCTCTCTTTAAAAAAAATTTTAATCTTTTTCTTTATTTTCTGGACCTATATAACTTACRTAACAAAAAGAAGCAAATGTTTGAACAAAATTCAGCATAAAAAAGGCAATACAGTGATAATCTCATGTGCACCACAGTTATTGTGAAGATTAAATGGAATAACTTTTGTAACATGCTTAGCACTTTCCATGGCAAATTGTAAACAAACAAATAGCAACAACAGAAAAAAACAAAAGCCTAACAACCTAACCATGTGCCAATCACAGTTATGACTTTTTTTTCATGCATTAACTAATTTAAACCTCACAACAACACAATAGGTAGGAGACTACTTATTGTTCCAGTTTTACAGATGAGGAAACTGAGACACAGAGAAGTTAAAAAACTTGTCCATGTGGCAAAACTGAGTTTTTTTTTTTTTTTTTTTTTTGGAGAGAGTGAGGGAATTTTTATTTTTTAGTTATCGGCAGACACAACAACTTTGTTTTGTATGTGGTGCTGAGGATCGAACCCGGGCCGCACGCATACCAGGCGAGCGCGCTACCGCTTGAGCCACATCCCCAGCCCAAAACTGAGATTTAAACATACTCTATAGAGTCTGTGCTCTTGGGCTCTTGGCTTTACTAGTTCTTGATGTATCCTAACTGATCAATCAGTGTGAGCTGCTGTTAATTTCTAAATTATTAAGGATTTACATGGTAGGACATGAATAGCAACTGTCAGCTTCTCTAGGAGCCATGGCAAAGGCATTTGACAACTGGTTCTGATCTGTAACATTTTCTACTTGCTGTGGGGTAAATATTCCTTCCATGATTGATTTAGAACAATTAATATGAAGTCACTAAATGAGGAGCTGAGAAAAGAAGCACACATGAGCTCTTGAAAGCTGATAGGATCCCAACCAGCATGCCACTGGTGGGTGGTCCCATATCTGATGGACACAGCACTGCCAAAAGGACTGAATTCCTTCTGGCACCAGGTCACTAGAATCTGGAGCCACTTCATGGCAGCAAGAGGAGTCAGGCCTAGTGGACAGAACCAGGTCAGTTCTCTCCTGCCCTCTTTGCTGATGGAACTTTTCAAGTGTCTGGGTGATTGTCCAGTGGTGGAGCTGACAGTCATGTTTTTATTGTTTTTTTAGACAGAGTCTTACTGTGTTGACCTGGTGGGGGGTCTCAAAACTCCTGGGTTCAAGCAAACCATCTGCCTTTCCAAGTAGTATATAGTGTTTAAATGGTATCTTTTCAATTGTGTCCCATTAAAAAACTACTCTGTCTATATATAATTGTAGAAACATCAATGATAATTGTAATAATAAGATTTGAAACATGCCAAGCACAGCATTAAGTAAAATGGTAACCCCCCATGGTTTCATAATTAATAGGAGGAGGAGCTAGAATTGAAATATAAAAGACCTGAATGGCCAAGCACCCATTCGTTGTCAACAGAGGCTGACCTGTAGGGCAGTGTGATTCATGTAGCGGGACTCTYACTTTTTACATTCCTCGTTTGTGTAAATTTGATTTTTCATGATGAACTAGTGTGAGCTTTTGCTATTAAAGGGAGATGGAGATTAAAATATGGCTTCTTGGGCTGTGTCTGAGCTCCTTCCTCACTCTGTCCTTTTTTCTCAATTCCAGGCTCAGAAGAACAACAAACAGAATCCTGGCCTCCTCTTGCTGTAGCAGTAACATCTTGGGGTCAGTGAACGTGTGTGGCTTTGAACCTGATCAAGTCAAAGTACGAGTAAAGGACGGAAARGTGTGTGTGTCAGCTGAACGGGAGAACAGGTACGACTGCCTAGGATCCAAAAAGTACAGCTATATGAACATCTGCAAAGAGTTCAGCTTGCCGCCATGTGTAGACGAAAAGGATGTAACTTACTCCTACGGCCTCGGCAGTTGTGTCAAGATCGAGTCTCCATGCTACCCTTGTGCCTCCCCCTGCAACCCGTGCAACCCCTGCAACCCCTGCAACCCGTGCAACCCTTGCAGCCCCTGCAGCCCTTGCAACCCTTGCGACCCCTGCAACCCCTGCTACCCCTGTGGAAGCCGATTTTCCTGTAGGAAAATGATTTTGTAAATTGTGCTTAGGAATCCATGTCTTAGCCGAAGTCAGATATTCCAGCCAGGCAGCTCTTCCAGCATTTCTCTTCCCCTTCCCAAGGCCCTTGTTGTTCAAGTACATAGGAAACTAAATACATAATTGCAATCTGCTGTTGTTGTGTGCAAGTCTTTTTATTCCGCCTACTCCAGGAGCCCTGCAGAGTTAGTGGGCATTGGAAGAATGAATGGATGGGGTACTGAGAGATGCTCTCCCGTGTCCTCCTCCGAACTCAACTATCTCCAAGTTCCAGGAAGCATCCCTAGACAGTCTTTCCAACTGATCCAATGAAATGGTCCAGCCCAGAAACCACACTGCAGACAGAGAATCTAGCAATTAAAAACAACCACTTTTTTTTTTTTTTTCTTTTGGTGGTACTGGGGATTGAACCCAGGTATATCACGGCCCTTTTTATTTTTTGAGACAAGGTCTTGCTCAATTGACCCGGCAGTCCTTGAACTTGCCATTCTCTTGCCTCAGCCTCCCGGGTTGCTGGGATTGCAGGCACCATCACACCTGACTCTATGGCAGCTGTCTCTTTCCCTCATTTCCAGAAACTGGTTTTAGGCATGGAAATTCAGGAGCGGAAAAGTACAGAYTTCACAAAATGATAGCATAGTTCTCCTGAATTTGGATCCTCGTMGCTGGAGCCATTGAGCTATTCTTGGTTGTTAGGACAGAAATAGAAGTAAAGGAAAAACAAGATGATGGGGAGGGATGGTTTCAATCCTCTCAGCTGGGCAACTTGGGAAACTGAGGTAGGAGGATTGTAAATTCATGGCCAGCCTTAATCCTGTCTCTAAATAAATGGCCAGGGATGTAGTTCAGTGTTGGAACACCCCTTGGTTCAATCCCCATACTATGAACAAAACAAAACAACTCTCTTAGAGGGAACAAAAAACCATCTAGTTTGCATAGTAAGTCTTTTTATTAGCCTTAGATGTCTAAGGGTTGAGTGGTGATTCTCAGTCTTGTCTKCACATGGGAATTATTTGGGAAGCTTTAAAAATATGCATRTTGGAGCTGGGTGTATAGCTCAGTTGCCTAGCRTTTGCAAAACCCTGGGTTTGATCCCCAGTACAACAACAACAACAAAGCCAAACCAAAAAATTTTTGATATGGGGGATTTGAATCATGTCCTCAAGCATACTAGGTAAGCACTGTACCACTGAGTTACATCTCCAGTCCTTTTTTTCTTCCTTCCTTCCTTCCTTCCTTCCTTCCTTCCTTCCTTCCTTCCTTCCTTCCTTTTCTTTTTTTTAGACAAGTTCTTACTAAGTCATCCAGGCTGAACTTGCAATCCTTCTTGACCCTCCTGAGTAGCTGGGATTACAGGCATGTGCCACTGCACCTGACCCAAACATTTCTTCTTCAAAAGAGGAAAATATACAGATGCCTGTGTGATTCCCCAGAGATTCTAATGTAATAGATTTGAGAGGCAACCTGGGCATCAAGATTTTTAAAAGCTTCCCCAGGCAATGCAAGCATACAGCTAAGACCAGGAAGCTCTGGGTGAGATTCTTAAAGTCTTTTTCTTTAAAAGCTTTCAAGTTCAAGATTGAAAAATAATTGATGTTGATAGTAGATTTTGCTCTCGATTGAGGGAACTRATGGCCCTCTATTACAAGTGGTGAATAAAAAACATTGAACATTCCCAAAATGTATTACCTAGCAACGAGGTATAAATGAATATGTTTGTGTATGCTAAATTGTAGAATTGCCCTCATGTCTTGCCATGTTTTGATTATATGTTCATAAATATTCTAGTTTCTAAGTTATAATTTTTTTCAGTACTGGAGATGGAACCCAGGATCTTGCACACATACTAAGCAAGCACTCTGCTACTGATCTGCATCTCTAGCATTTTTATAAATTTTATTTTGAGACAGTCTTGCTAAATTTCCCAGGCTGCCCTTGAACCTAGGATTCTCCTGCCTCAGGCCCTCCAAGTAGCTGGGATTAGAGGTGTATGCCACCACACCCAGTTAAAGTTAGAATGTTTTCTTGTGGTCCTAAGGATTGAACCCAGAGGTGATGATCTACTGACCTATATTCCCAGATCTTTTAATTTATTTTTTTTTTTAATTTTGAGACAGGTCTTCTAAATTGTGGAGGCTCACACTGAACTTGTGACCCTTCTGCCTCTCAGCTTCCTGAGTCATTGAGATTACAGTTGTACACCACTGCACCCAGATTTTAAGTCACAAACATTTTTAACAAATTTCATCTTATAAAGTCAATGGAATCTCACTGGGGTCTTAATTCCTTGAACAAGTGGAGACCTCTGCCCTTTGGAAGGGGCCATTCCAGGGCACCTCCAGGAACGAACAGTTCATTTTTCTACTGACGCACCCACGTCTCACCCTCCCATTAGTCCAGACATTCACCCATTTATCCATCATCTTGTCAGCCAGACTTCCTCATCTAAAATCAGGTACTGCACCTTGCAGCAGAGATGGAGAGAAAAATAACTTTCATGAATGCTTTAAATTAAATGCAGGGAGGGGTGCTATGAAGGGATGGGGAGAAGGTAAAGTGGAGGGCGTTCCAAAGAAACTGAATTTAAAAGAGCTAGGAGAGGGCAGACTGGCCATAGGCATTTCCATGGTGGGTATCAAGGACATYACTGCCTGGCAGGTGCCCCAGGGAAGCTAGAGCCTGGCCTGGGTAGGATTGTTCCMTTCATCTGCTCGCCACCCTCACAGGGCAAGACTTGATAGATAAGTGGTTATTGACTGAGTACCAGCTCTGAGTGGGGGCCCAGTGCCAGGAGCTATTGTTACTAAGTACCTTTCCAGGAACTTCTGTAGGGGAAGGCAAGACTACCATCAGTGGTTATAATTGTCAAAGCACTTGACAGCATGTAACCAGAGCTACATTGTCTGGTGTGCCCTGTGAAGTGCCCTCTAACATCAGCAAAGTGCATGTGGGAACTGGAGCCAGCCAGACGAGGAGGCAGGACGTGGGTGTGGGCCTTGTCTGAGGCCTTGGGGAAAAGCACGCAGCAGGGCTTGTTCCATGAACTGAGAACAGGGCGGAAGTAGATCTGAGGGAGAAGAAAGAAACATTGGTTGTCTCCTAAATTGTCAATGAACCCTGGGCTTGGGCAGCCCTGCCACGGTTTTGAATGTTGTTTTATAGATCAGAGTCCAACTGTAAATGCCCTTCTTTATCTACAGAATGGGCARTGGGTGGAGGTGACTCTTGATTGCACAGAGACAAAAAAAATTGTCCCATAAGGGAATTGAAAGATGAGACTATGTCACTGTCCATGTGTATAATGGATGAATGCCTTTTAATTAATGAGCTTGGTAAATAGTGTTGAATTAAGCTTGAAGATGAATACAATTAAATAGCTCTTTAGTTCTGGAATATATTCCATTAACACAAAGAGCTATTTAATTGTATCATGAATAAAAAAAATTTGGGGGCATAGGACTCAGGAATCTATACCCAATTGCTACCATATACTGTTTAATTATCTTCAAAACTCATAGTGAATATTTTATACAATTATATTAAAAATTCTCAGCAACTGTTCTTCAATTCTTGTAAAATAGTTTTATTCAGTGAACTGTTCATATCCGCAGATCTAGTGAACTAACAGTTTTTAAATTATCTCAGCTTCTGAGATGTAGCTCAGTGGTAAAGCACATGCTTAGYATGTGTGACACCCTAGGTTCCAGAAACCTCAAAGAAAGAAAAAACTTCAACTTCTCTTCTCTACACAGAAATTCTTTGTTCTGTTTCCCTCTTTCCCACACATGATTGTCACAGTCTGGAATAGGTTGCAACAATGATTTAGCCCTTTGGCTCAGGACGTTATGCTGAGAGTAAAGGTAAAATTAATACTGCAACCAGAGACTGGGAATTTGTAAGAAAAGTAAATGGGGGGGGGAGGAGTAGGAAAGACAGTAGAATGAATCAGACATAACTTTCCTATGTTCTCATATGAATACAAGAAGAATGTAACTCTACATCATGTACTACACAAAAACAGGAAGTTATGGCTGAGTGACACACACCTATAATCCCAGCAACTCAGGAGGTTGAGGCAGGAGGATCGTGAGTTCAAAGCCAGTCTCAGCAACAGAGAGGTGCTAAGAAACTCATTGAGACCCTGTCTCTAAATAAAATACAAAATGTGGCTGGGGATATGGCTCAGTGGTCAAGTGCCTCTGAGTTCAATCCCCAGTACCAAAAAAAAAAAAAAAGAAAAAAAGAGAAGTTATACTCCATGTATGTATGATATGTCAAAATACATTCTACTGTCATGTATAACTAAAAAGAACAACAACAAAAGTAAATGGAACCAGGTGAGGGGGCAAATATTTGTAATCCCTGAGACTTGGGAGGCTGAAGCAGGAGGATCATAAGTTCAAGGCTAACATCACTCAGCATCTTATAAAGATCCTCAGCAATTTAGTGAGACCTTGTCTTAAAAAAAAAAAAAAAAAAGCAGGGGACCTTAGGATGTAGCCTAGTGGTAAAATGCCTCTGGGTTCAATGCCCAGTACCAGAAAAAGAAAAAAAGAAAGAAAAGTAAGTGGGGAACATATTGCTGAGTGACCTAGTGAATTCCAGTGGAGTCTGTAGGGATTTTGGCTTTTATCGTAGCAYGGTCTCAACAGATGCCTGGATGAGTCACATGACTTGTAATCATGAGAGAAAGATTGGCTCAGAAGTGACCCTCAGGGAGCAGCTGCTCTTGATACTAACCTGGAAACACTTCTTTCCAGTTCGGAGAAGTACAGCAAGTAGCTCTTTATCCCTGAAGATGTAACACAAAGCCAGAAGGCATCCATTATTTGGGCATCTGGATCCTGATGAATGTATATACTTGGACAGACATAAGTACCCATCTCCCTGAGCTACACCAAGCCCCAGTTACAGTACTAGATACAGAGATCAGCAAACCTGATGGACAGCCTACCACTGTGAAGGCTCATAAACTGGGCCTTGATCTCATGCCACTTCAGAGGATGTCTCAGTAACAGAAAGTCCTGGAGCCAGAATGTCAGGAAGGAGGTTTAAATCTAGCAATCTCTGTTTCCTAAGGCAACTGGCTCTTCTCTTAGAACCTCTTCCAGCAGGGAGCACCATCAAGGGCAT